CAAGAGTAAGGCTCTATGGGGTAAGCAAATAAGGCTTACCGCGTGTCATTGTCGCAGAATCGGAGCAGTTTGGCAACTTGGGGCGCAGATCTGCTCTGTCTGGTTTCCTGGGGTTGTATGGCAGCAATGAAAACGTAGTGCTCGTAGTGGAATATATTAAGGTAACGGACGGCAAACGACGATCGCAGTTCTGCCCGGAGAAATACAGCCGCTTCGCCTTCGAGGCTTCCTGAAAACAAGGTGAAATTTTGAGAATCCCACAAGAAATCCGATAGATCCGCTTACCTGCATTCACTACAGAAAGCCCTGGAAGTTCACGCAGTGCAACAGCTGGGAATGGATCTCTATATGGGGAATCGCCCGAGTGGGAGACGGCAATGGCTAGCAGTTGTGATGACAGCTTCAGAGAAACACATGAAGCTGTTGGAGAGATGGCAGCCACTGGGACGTCTCCAGATGAGGTCAGCGACAAGTTTCGAAGTGAGTGAAACGAGCAGGTTCCTGAAGAATCAAAGTGGAGCTTCCAAAATCGAATACAATTGAAGATTTATAAAAAAGAAAATAATAGTAGTATCAAAAATAAACTGTACTTCCGCACCTTTGCAGAGTGGAATGCTGAATAAGTGGCAATGAGTCTAGCCACGAGGGGCAAAGCAACTCTATGGAGGGTTCAAGTGTGGAGAAAATCTCGCGCTATTGGGTTTAAGGGGGAAGGGGGCGCAGTTCACTGGTTTCTGTTACTAGTTCCTGTTGTCTTACACGTCTTACTTTGGTTGGATCTGTGGACCCTTATCAAGTGTAAACAGAGCACAGCTTTATAAGAGCTTACTGGTCTCCACTAGAGGCACCGATACTGGTCGAAGGAAACCAGTAAAGTGCCCCCACCAACCCGAACTGCTCCAAAAATCCTTCACACCGTAGGAACTATCGCTAATGAACCAGAGTCTTACCCTCCAAGGCATATAATTCCGGGACCAAAAAATGTTTTAGATCTTCTCACCTTGTCTTACAGAGCCACATTGTAACACCGCGTCGGGCAGTACTTGCAGAACTTTGTTGTGGTTGTCAGTATCGCGAAGTACCGCATCTTTCAGACAACTGCTTCCATCGACACTACACAATGGAGAATCTCGAACTGGACCCGTAGAAACTGAATGCAGTGGCAGGAGTTCGCTGTCGGAAAGTACTGCAAGCTCGTTCACCGCACCGATGTAGACCTGGAAATGCACATTGTTAAACTGCAACTGTTTCAACCTTGCTGGTTGCTGTGGCCCTTAAGTTGTGTATCAGTGAACTCAGGTCCGCAAGGGCGTATCAACGGCGCATGGGTTTTTTGTTGAGTGGCCACACCTTTTCTCTCCACATCACTTGGGCGTCAGCAACCAGAATGATCGAACAATGGAAAACGGATGCGCACGCATTGCAGCCGTTTTGGGTTCGGAATTCCGCTCCCACGAAGATTTTTCATGGGCGTCTTGTGGACCGCACGGTTTTCGGGCCCCTAATTGACCGCAGTGATGTTGAGTGTACTTGCTGTTACTATTTCACCTTTGTGAATTCCATTAAGTATTACCGCACGTTTACCATCTATCAAATGGTAGCGCAGCTTTGGGGAAGAGAGATATATTTCGTTCGAAATCATTTTTTCGTTCGCTTAATCTAGTTCTCTTAAGGTTTAATCAGTTGAAGGCACAGCCCATTTTCACCTGAGACGTTCCATTTTAAGTGGTCCATCCCCAGGGCGTGCGGTGGGCGGTTTGGGGGGGGGGGAGAGAAAGGGCAGAATTGACACCCTTAATTGGGTTGGTCGGCCAGTATGTTACTCAGTTTTTCTTACTAGTTGGAACGAGCAGCTGATTGGTCAACCGACTTTCTTTTCTCCGTCCAAAAGTTTTTGCCTCTAGAGGAAAAAAAAACTGTATCAGACAAATACACTGAAGTTTAGGCAGAAATTGGCGCAAAGGAGGTTATTGGAAAGACATTTGGCAGGTAAATTGGTCAGGTTGCACAGATCGGAAAAAGGAGGGGGTTGCGTTTTCGTCCCCCGTTATATATACCGTTCTCAGGGGGCGGGAAATTGGGGGACACCCTTAACTCTCCGATCCACTCAGGTGTGGCCCCCTCTTCCCAATGTGTTTCCCGCCACAGACCGCGACGCTGATCTCCCTGTTCTTCGAGCACCCATGAGGTACTGAAGAAAGTTCGACACCTGTTTGACAACACTCGAAAATGGGGAACCGGAAGCCCATGTATAGCACAGGTTTGTCGCTTCAAAGCTAACATCCCTAGTATGAAAATAATCCGTGATATATTGAAAACTGGCTTATCGTATTACGCCTATAATTAGATGTTGTGGCAGTCTGAGCTAGCCAGTGCCAAGATTAATTAGAGGAACGAGGATAGTGACACCAAAACACCTAAGTCAACAATAACAATAATCACCAAGCTAGTAGTCAATATTAGTAAATAATTCCCAAGTCAAAGCCTAGGTTGTAAAGCCATCCCGTAGGATTAAAATTTTTTTAGGGCTATAGGTTCAATTTCAGTTAAAATAGACGTTTTCGAAACCACAGCACAGTTGCTGTTCTATTTCTAGTTTCCTTTATTGATTCCTTCTTTCGATTTCCGATTTTTCTGCCATAAAAAGTCGTTAGATGGTGGGTAGGATGGAGAAGGGGATCGTATTTTGCAATAAAATTCCCCCAGTGACAGGACGTGGCCTGAGTGCCATTGACTTGTCCATTTTCTCAGTTGACCATGCCCTTTTCTTTCCGTTGGAGCTGCGTACTTTGCATGGGACACAAATCGACTGGTGTTTAATTGACTCCGTACGAAACATCGCTTACCCAATCAGCAGACACAAATTTGAGGTTTTTTGCGAAGTTTCGCTTTTTTGAATGACCTCCTCGTGCAACACATCGAGCAAATGCCGAAACAATTACATCCGGCTGGACAGGGTTCGTTATCGTCTCGGTTCATCTATTTTTCATCAGCGGATTATTCGACCTAACGAGGACACAAAACAAAGTTCAGCCATCAGAAGGAAATTCTGTACCGGTGGAAATATGCCAGAGACTTTTTGACAACGTTCCCTTCGATGATGGTATCACTTGCACAGCCTGATCCCCTACGCGCCCCCGTCCATTTTTTAATTTTTTAGGTAAAATTTTTTACCCGAAAAAAATGTGGCACTTTTGTGTGAAACTCCAGAAAAATGCAGGAAGCTGGGAGAACACAGAAACATTGAGGGTGAGAAGGGGCGTACCAAGGTGAAATTTTAAGAGGGGGTCGTATTTCGCAGAATTTGTCCTCAGTGGTAAGTCGTTAGAAGACTTGTGGTACTCAAGATTGAAAGCATATAACAGAGCAGAAAAGCAGAAAATATTGCTCCTTCATTCTTTAAAAAATCTTTTTTCATGGACTATCATTAACTATCATTTGAGGTCTCATTTTTTGGATCAAAATCGACGTAGTAGGCTATTAAAAAAATTGCTTTCAGTTATTTTTATTAACATCAACTATCCCTGAATCGCTCTTAATATGCAATTAAATTTCCTGCGCGTATCAGTTGCTATCATCGATTATCGTGATCTGTCATTATGTATCAGTTCTGCTTCTGAACTAACTCTGATACCGAGGAGGAGATTGAACTCCAAAATCGAGAAAAACGAAGAGACGTATTGAGAACAATCAATTGAAATGAACGAAAAGGAAAATAAAGTAATGGAAATTAAAGCGCAATTTGGCTTGGTGGGGGCACTCCCCCTCCCCCGGTTCCCGTCGTTCACTGCCGATTCCTTCCGAGGGACCTAAATTCCTGTGAAACTAGACAAGAGCAGCAGCATCGTTTACACTTGACAAGAGTCCAGAGGATTTAACAGAACTAGGGAGAGGAGTTGCAGAAATTGCAAAATGCCCCTCCCAAGCCGAACAGCGCCGAAATAACAAATCAATAATCGAACAATGAAAATGAGTGATATTTTCGAAATTTCAAAAAAAAACTAGGCAAAAACATCAGGCAACTCGTTATCTTACGTTACCCTCCCGTTAAAGTAGTTTTTCAAGAAGATTTGCGAGCCCTTTTCGTGACTCTTGCCACTCGTCCTTTTTTGAAGCACGGAGTACATCACTCTTAAAAGCCATCGTTCAACGATGATAAGTGGCAATCACCTTTGATGATTTAGCGCGATGTCTTCCAAGAGCTAATGCTAACCCCGCGCTCAACTCATTCCAGCTGAAGCCATGT